TAGTACTTTAGAGTGCTTAAACAAATCACACGGCACTTTGTTTTTAATAGGCACGGATACTCTGTAAGTATATATTCATCCCCAATGTCTATCCTTTGCAAATATCCTTTGCACAATCGATTTAACAATGTCGCAGATGCTATATCTCGTCGCCCGATTTTCTCTGCTGCAGGAGAACTAATCCCACTAACTAAATCATCTTTCTTCCTTTGTGAAACAATCGAATAGAATTATCCTACCTCAACTCATAACACTAACTCAAATTCTCCAACTAATGGACATACAAACCAGAGCAATAAATGACAAAGGTTAGAAGATCTCAAACGAATCGCTGAAAAATTCAACTCCCATTCCTCTTCTACACAACATCTATATAAAAAACCTCCTCTCGCAAACCCCTGTGATCCAACTAAAATTCTTCCCTACCTAATACTACTACCTTTAACCAATCAAGAATTAACCAACAATAGATAACATTAAAGGTAAAATAAACAATCCAATAATTTTTATATTCTTTCTATTTATTTTCCTAAACAATACCTTTTTTCTATTTTACAACCAGGAAATACATTTACCTCACCCGTATATAAAACCCCTAACGACCAAACTATCAATAAAGGCAAAACTACATCTACTTGTGAAAATAATACAAATGAATACAACGTCTATGCATCTACAAGCTCCAATACTTATCCTCATACTACAGTATCTGATTTATCTGACTCAGAATAATAACTTAGTCCAGCTAAATATACGATTTAATAAAAATTACCTTTTGTTAAAATATTTCATTAATCTAAACTATCATATTGTATAACGCATTAATCTTGTAATGATAAGTTATCACTCTTATCTACGAAAAATATATATACACATTTTACAATAAATAGTATATAATTTTGCTATCTACAAATACACTATCTCCTTTTTTTATTATAAATTTTTTTATCTAAATTTACTTTAATCCTTTATTAAATATTAATTTATATTTACTAATAAGTAAATCTCTATATCATAAAAAATTTAAATACCAAATTAATAACTATGATAAAAAACCGTTAGATATAAGTAGATATTAAAATATCAATTTACGCGTTTATAATATTTATATAAAACCGTTAAAACCACTTAAAATTAATTCTAAAATAAATAAAGTAGAATAATGAAAATTTTATTATATATTATAAATTAATTTTAAGATAAATTTAATTATCGCATTATCTATATACCTCCTTTTTTACTAAAAAATTACTCTCGCTAAATACCTATAACTCTAATTCCTTTTTCTTACCATCTGTTCACATCACTCATTTCTAAATCGTTCCACCTCTGATCGCCTCATAACCATCATATTTCTCCACCAATTTCATTCTAACGACTGATTATTTTCCCGAAGCTCACATTATCGACATTTTTTTTTCACAATTACACTAACCTTAGCTCTAATACAAGCTTAATCGTACTAATATTACTCTAATTTCTATGTTAGCAAAATGAACTTCATTAAATAAACTGTCAATAAAATAAGCTTTTTATCCGTAATTCCACTCAATTCTCTTCTTAGCCAAGTAATTTTCATTCATTTAATTATATCGCTTTTCAACCTACTAATTACAAATAATAAAATAAATGTTCTCCTACAATACCTTCTTATATATAACATCAATACTAATTAATCTTCCTACCACACTAATGCTATAAATACTTATATCCATACAAATATGCTACATACTAAGCAATAAAATAAATAAAGAAATAACCAAAAAAATAAATTTTATCATATTTACTTCTTATGACTCTATTAAATCCCCATAAAAGTATAACAACCAATATTTACCGCAACCACTCAACAGAACCTTCTAGTAATAATTATCATTGTCTTAGTTGTTAATATACAAACTCAGCAATACAATAATAATCAGCTTATTGTTCATAATACTTATTAGCATATACGATGATAATCTCAAAATACTCATTAGATATACATACTATATACAATATCTTAAAATAAACTAAATAAATATTATATTAAACAACCAATCTTAGAACTTTCTAAACTTTATCTTTCCATCAGTTCACTTTTCCAATCCCATATCCTGCTCCAGATATATATTCTCTTATCCTACCTCTTTTTAAAAATAAAATTATTTTTTCTTAGTTAGCCATATATTTTACCTTAGAATCTGATTCTCCTTTCTTAATTTCTTCTACCTAAAAACCCAATACCTCATTACATATGTCTCATACTATTTTTCAACATTACTTTCCCACTTTACCTTTACAACATACCCTAGATAATGCTTCTCATTCTAACAATATCGATACTACAAATATCTTTGCCCAATACACGTTGCAACCTGAATTAATATTAACTATCCGGAACAACACTTAAATCAAAATCAAATACCTCATTCGCTCTCTTCTTCTTCTAACCATCGTGTAATCGAACCTTGGACCCCTTCTGTCAAATTACAATCCCTACTCAATCAATTCGAAATGAAAATTTTATATGATTATCCCCACATACCATGCTGTTACTGCTCCGTGTTAATGTTTCGATCATTAACACAGTGGATCAACTTTGATCCAAACATTCAATACACCTTACTTCTAGCCTTTCCGAACATATCTCTATATTTTAACAAAAATAACACCAAAGTTGCCATCTGTTCGAGTTGTAAGAAAAAAAACATGCGACGTTTTCCCCCAATCCTCTCTAACGTACTACCAAAATTCAATCTATACCCATGTTTCACTGCAAATACCTATCACCTATTTGCATGTTCTGCTCTTTAGGTAGAATGCCGGGTTCTAACCCGTATACAAATTACAGATTTTGAACGGAAATATTTCCCTAAGCAAAAACCCTCACGCAATACAATTGTATTTAGGATCAATCGGCGCAATTCTAGAATCAACTGACCAATCCAATTGGTTCCATCCCACCTTAACTAATACAAGCACATAGCTTAAAAATAATAATTCCTTATTTAACTTTTACAAAAACATGACCTTAAATACTCTTCCAAATCCCTTAAACCAAATTCCTACACCTTTACCAACGGCTACTCTCTCAACATCAGATACACAAAATACATTAAACATACCTCAATTAATCATCCCCAACCATCCCTTCCCACCCGAAATCCACAACGAAGATTATAATTATAATCGTTTATTGGCAGGTTCTGTAGAAACCCATAATACAACTCTACCAATATCTTATAATGCCCCTGAATTAGAAGCTATGTTATTTCCTGACCTTTTCTTTACAGGAAAAGGACATTACGAAGACCTAAAAACAAACTTATTCTCTGAAACAAATACTGAAAGTTATGGCAAATATATCAAGTTAAGAATACTATATCCTAACTCTAGATTTAGGCTTCATTGGTATTGGCCTCACTGGTTCTATTTAAATCTTGAAAAAAGAAGAAATTTTCAAAATATATGTCGCTTATTAAATCAAAAGAAAACCTTACGTCAATATCATCCTACTTGCACTGACCTTATAACAAATAGCCTATATACAAACAGACCAATAATTGACAAGTCAATAACATCCTCACTCTCTTTAAATTTATGCACTACTGCCCCCTTTTTTAAAAAAAAACAATTACAAGATAATGAAATGATTAGAACACTAGGATTACCTTAGCTTTTTTATACATTCACTTCGGCAGAAGAAAAATAGCGCCACCTACAATATATATTATCAATAACTGATAACCACGACACCCTACCAACAAATTGCCCACTTCATACGTACCTATTCTACCACAATAAATTGAATAATCTCTGTAACAAACTATGGAAAAACCCTAGTCTAATGAAATAGGGCAATTTAGAAAACTATTTTGAAAGAGACAAATTCCAAAATAGAGGCTCCATTCATACTCACGGCTTTGCATACACTGAAGCATCAATTTCTGAGTTGATAAATACTGATTTCATCAGGGCTAACCTACCAGATCCTGTTACTGAACTGCAACTACACCATCTCATATCTATCTACTAAATTCACAGATGTCGTCCCAACCTATATGGTGGCCCTGGAACTAACGCTCAACCATGCAGAAAAGGCTTCCCACAACCCTTATCACCAACAACACGTGTCGACCCCAACTCGCTATGATATACCTACAGGTAGAAGTCAAACTTATTATCTCATTTTACATAATTAATAATAAATTAGATACTTCTTAAAATCAAATTAAACTTCCCTTCAACTAAACTTAAATCGCATATAATCAATTTATCAAACAAACTCACTCTAAATCACCATATCAATTATATCTTCACTCACCCTGAATAAAGAAAACCTTTACTATTACAATTCTAATTTTATACACGATATGAAACACATTAAAAAATTATTTTACAATACCTAATAAAATTTATCACCAGATAATACATATTAGACTTATAACCAAAAACATTATATTATATTAAAATTTACGCAAAATTATAGTTTATCTGTACTATATAACTAGTCAACTTCAACCAAGTATCATAAAATAATTTTTTTATATGTTCCACACCATGTCTAAAATAATATATTAACATCACCATTTTCTCCTCTTCTTAATTACTCCATAACCCCATACCAAAATCACAACTATCGCAACTTTTTAATATCTTAAACCTTAAGATCATAAGAAGACATTTATATATTCGCTATATAAATTGAATTAATTTTACATTATTTATAAGAGTAAAATACTTTTTAAAAAGAGAAAACCATGAAGAATAAATGAAAGAGAAGAATATAGAACATTTTATTAGAGTTGTGGGACTCCTATTAAAAATAGTCAAAATTCTCTTTTATTTTAGAGAAGTTAATACCATAATAATCTAATTTTAAGAAATCATTATTATACTCACCTCTCTAAAACAAAAAATAAGTTTAATTATTTTTAATAGTGAAGTTCCACAACCCTAATAAAACGTTCTATATCCTTCTCTTTTGTTTATTCTTCCTGCTTTTCTCTATTTAAAAAGTATTTTACCCTTATAAATAATCTAAAATTAAATTGATTTAAACAACCAATCATACGAATCTCTGCCTATGAACCTTAAAATATATACCTACAATATATATATAAATCTATTAACTTCAAAAAACACAAATACTACTACTATAAAATTACCAAATTTAAATCTATACTCATCAAAAAAATTCATCCAAATTTCATCTTCTATACCGACAGACTATTAAAAGAAGAAGATCGCTAGATTGTTCTTTATAACACAGAATCCTTATTCATTTGGCAAGGCCATTTAAACTTCCAATACATAACAACTAGCAGCTTTGCTAAATATATCACCAAATATGTAACAAAACCAGAGCCCTCAGAACTTTTTTCCAT